TAAGACTCCTATAGCACAAGAATTAAAATCTAGAATCAATAAATAGGATGGATTCAAACTAAAAAGTTTCTTCTCAGCAAAAGAAACAATCTGTGAAGTGATTAGAGAACCTACATCTTGGGAGCAAATATTTACCCCTCACACATCAGATAAAGCACAAATCTCCAGGGTTATATAAAGAACTCAAAATGCTAAATAACAAAAACCAAATAACTCAATCAATAAATTGACAAAGGACCTGAACAGACACTTTTCAGAAGAGGATATAAAATCAGTCAAAATTTATGAAAAAATGTTCATCATCTCTAGCAATTAGAAAACTGCAAATCAAAACTACTCTAAGATTTCATCTACTCCAGTCAGAATGGCAGCTGTTATGAACACAAACAACAATAAGTGTTGACGAGGATGTAGGAGAAAAGGTATACTCATAAGTTGCCGGTGAGACTACAGATTAGTGCAGCCAATATGGAAAGAAGTATGGAGATTTCATGCAGTATTTCTTTCAATACCTGGATATTTTTATTAAGCTTTATGTCCTCCAGTTCCATCCATAATTTTGCAGATGACGGTGTTTCCTTCATTTAAATATCTCTCAAACATTTATCATTACTTTATGGTAAACATTCGATATATTTTCTTCTAGCTTGTTGAAATGTATAATTCATTGCCATTATCTACCATCACCCTACTGTGTAATAACACACAAGGACTTTTACTTCCATTTAACTCTAAATCAATACCCATCAATCGATGTGTTTATCATCTTTTCATCAATCTGACTAGGACAGCTTAGATGAGGGAAGAATTGTTGTGGTTCACAGTTTCAGATGTCTCAGCCCCTGTTCGGACAATTCCACAGTGTGTTTGAAGGGCATGGCACAGGAAAGCTTCTCAGCTCATGGCAACCAGGAAAACAGACAGAGAGAAAGTGGAGGCAGACCCTTTCAGGATGCATTCCCAGTGACCTACTTTCTCCAACTAGATCCTACCTCTTAGTAGTCCAGTGATTAACCCACTGATGCCTAAAAGCCCCACCTCTGAAGCTTGTTGCAGAGGGCACATGATTTTGATACATGAGTCTTTTAGGGAATATTCTATCCAAACTATAACAATCAACCTTCCCCATCCTAACCACCCTTGCCAGTCTCTGGAAACCACCATTCTACTCTTGTCAAATTTAGCTTTTCTTTGTAATAGCAAAAACACCTGAAAAAAAACTTTAAAAATGAAATATTTTATTTTGCTCATGGTTCCAGAGTTTTCAGTCCATTGTCAACCAACTTCATAATGTCTGGTCCTGTGATGAAGCAGTATGGTGAAAGGGCATGGAAAAGGAAAGCTGATCATCTTGCGGTGGCTAGGAAGAAGAGAGAGAAAGGACACAGGGACAAACTATACTCTCCAACTGCAAACTCCAATACCTACTCCCTTCAACTAGGCCGCGACTCCTGCAGTGTCCACAACCTTCCAACAGTACATTTAATTATGGTCTTGTTAACACCTTCATGATCCATCACTTTCCAAAAACTTTACCTTTGAACATTGTTGCCATGAAGGACCAAGCACTAAACAATAATCCTTTGGTTTGAATCCAGATTCAACTGGAACTATTCTCAACTTCTATATGAATACCGATATTATATATACACATGAGTGAGATCACTTAGTGCTTGCCTTTCTGTGTCTGGCTGATTTTAGTTAGCATAATGATCTACAATCCATCATATTGTCTCAATGACAAGATTTCATTCTTTTAATGGCTAAGTAGTTTTCCATTGTGCATATGTGTCACATTTTCTGTATCCATTCATCAGTTGATGGACACTTAGGTTGTTTGACTTTCTTGACAATTGAGAATGGTGCTATAATGAACATGGGGATGTGGATGTCTCACCAACACATTGATTTAATTTTCTTTGGATACACACTGTAGTAGGAATTACTTTATCACAGGGTAGGTGTAGTTTTGAAGAACTTTCATGCTGTTTTCTTAATCTCTGTGATAATTTACATTCTCAAGTATAGTGTGCAATATTTCTCTTTTCTCCACATCCTCGCCAGTGCATGTTACTATTAGACTTTTTGTTAATTGCACTTCTTACCAGGTTAAGAAGATATCTCATGGTGCTTTTGGTTTCCATTTCTCTGATGACTAGTGATGTTGAGTATCCTTCTCTTTGAAAGTTGTCTTATTTGATGAGATGATAGATTTGTTAATTAGCTTCAATGAATCTTTATACAAAGTATGCATAGATCAAAACATCACATTGTGCCACATTGTTACACTTGGATTTGGAATGTCCCCAAAAGGCTTATATGTTAAAGGCTTTGTAGATGGTGAGACTATTGGGAAGTGATAGAATCATTAGAAAGTGCCTTGTGGGAGGATGTGGGTCACTGGGGAATGTATTTGAGAATGCATATTTGCCTTTTCTCCCCAACTCCCAATGCTTTCTAGCACCTTAGAGGTGAGCAACTTTGTCTCACCTTATCTTTCTGTCATGATGTACTGCTTCAACACAGGCACATATAATGGGACCAAGCAACCATGATTGATACCATAATCTAGAATAAATCCTTCTTCCTGTAAATTCATTTTTTCATGCACTGTTGTAGAAGTAGAAAGCTAACTAACAAAAAATTGGTATTTTGATGTGGGCTCCTGCCTGTGACTATACTCCACAATATGGTTCAGAATCCTTTGGAATGGTTTATGAAGGAACTGAGGAATTTTGAATATGTGGACTAGAAGAGCCCTAGAATGCTATAATAAGGGCATAATGGGCAATTATTGTATGAATTAAAAGGATCAGAATCCTGATAAGAATGCAAACAGCAAAAACTGTGCTCATGGGGTTTCAGATGGAAATGAGTATACTCTTGAGAACTGGACTGGAGAACCATTATTGTTATATTCTGGTTAAAAATTTGTCCTCATGTCTATCTCCTGAGACTTCATGTGATGCTGAGTTTAAAGGTGATGGACTAATTAATCTGATAGAGAAAACTGAAGGCAGGAAAGCATCTAGGCAGTGGCATGGGTAATTCTAATTGCTGTTAGCCAGTTTTACTGTGATAATCAAGAGCAAAGAGCAGAGCACAGAGATGTGAAAAATTGGCAGTTTGTCAGAAAAAAAGCAAGTGTAAAATAAGAGCCTAGAAGAATATGGTTGCTGAACAGATTCACTCCATTCAAAAGCAGCCAACTACTGTAGATGGAGACAATAGGAGGGATAACTCAAGAGCATCTCAGGAATTGGCCAGCCCCACTCACCTCAGGTTCCAGGGTATGAAAGCAGTACCCTGATCCCACAAGGTCACCTAGGGAGTTATTTCCTCAGCATATACTTAAGGATTTAATGTTTGAGTAACTGAGTTTCAATCTTGGTTTGGTCCCATCCCTCCTTTCCTTGCCTTCATTCCTCCCTTTTGGAATGGGGATGCTTACCCTGTGCCTTTCCCACCATATGTAGCTTTTCCTTTTTGTTTTCTTTAACAGAGGCTCACAGCTAATAGTTGCCTTGAGTCTAGGAGGACTTGGAACTTTTGAGACTATTGGACATGAACTTTTGAGACTATTGGACATGAACTTTTGTGGACCAGGAGCAGAATGTTATAGTTCAGATCCAGAATGTCCTCTCAAAATTCATGTGTTAAATATTTGGTCCCCAGCTGGTAACACTATTGGAAGGTGGTGGAAACTTAATAGGTGTGGCCTAGCAGAAAGAAGAGGCACAGTGGGGCCTCACATTTGAAGGTGTGTTATTTCACTGGTACCTCTCTTTCTTCTTCTCTCTCTGATTCCTGGTTACCACGAGGTGAGCATTTTTGCTCCATCACCCACTTCTGCCATGATACCCTACCTTACCAAAGGCCTATAGCCTTAGGTTTCAATGACCATGGACTTAAACCTCCTAAACCATGAACCAAAATAAATACTTCATCCTCTAAATTGATTTTCTTGCTTAATTGCTTAATTGCTTAATCACAATAATGGAAACTGACTATGACACTCATAAATATGTAAAGTTATTACACAACTATTAAAAGTAAATTTATAAAAAAATCCAAGGTGAAATCTAAACTCTATGATCTTGACCCTTCACTGAAGATTCATGGCTTTTCTTATTATGTATACTTAGGTAACTGAATTATAATTTGGATATTCCTCAGTAAGATGAATGTATTTTGCAACATTTACAAGTAAATATCAGATGGTTATATGGAAAACTATAAAAAATTCAAATATTATCATCTTCCATTTTCCCCAGTTTATTTTTCCTTCATAATCATATGGATGTAAATATTCCTTTTTTTAAGTCTCTGCATTCCTTATGGAACTGTCAAATAGTTTGTCTTTGTTTAACAAAGACCTCAGGATTTACATTTTAGGAAGGGATCAGTCTAATTCTTTATTATGACATATTAATTAATAAAGCACTATATATTCAAATGATGTATTAATACTTCCTGTAGTTTACATTAAAAAATCTGAGGCCTCCCAAATTTATTCAAATCTCCACATTAATCGATTTTTAATTATTTTTTATATGCCTATTGATTACATACTAATGATCCCCTTAATACTGTGCAACCAATACCTAAGTTAGTAAACAACTTACAAAAGCAAACATAGCTCAATATTAGAATCAATGCATTTATTAAAGTTTGAATTTTCATAAAATTTTGAAAGAAATCCAATACTATAAATCCCATCTCTAATGCAGGCTTTAGACTTTATTTTGAGTTACTATGCTAATTACAGAGTTTTTCAGATGGAGTCTATCAGTTATTTGCTAGTCCCAGACAAGGTGAGAAATCAGCAATCTGAGAATAAGAAGGCAATTCTTCTTGTAGATAATGAAGGTGATAAAGATTGGAAGAGGAGGCACTGATGACATTTGTCAAAAAATTAGAAACATAATAAGATGGTCAGTAGAACCCACATCCTGATGGACAGGTTGGTCTGTAGCAAGAAGACTGGCAGGGTCTGGAAGCCAAATAGGATGGACGGCACAGCCCGGATCCACAGCCCAGAGAAGAGAAGCCACCAACTCTGTAATTCAGGTGTCTAAAGCCACTAGATCCACAGCATCTTGAGCCATAGCCCTGAGAGCAACAGCTACTAGACACAGATCTCACAGATCTAGCATAAGTTGTCTTGCAGGGACTGCAGAATGTGGAGGTCCTTGGGCGGTAGCAGGAAGGCTGGCAGGGCCTGGACACCACACAGGACGTCTGACATCTTGAGGGCCTGTGGAAGGTCTTCTGACAGCCCCTGTAGTGAGAGGAGCCCAGCTGGCAGGTGCTGGGAAAGCAGAGGTTCTGGCTGTAGATCAGGTTTCTGTTGTAGGAGGAGCCACAGGAGGAGCCTGAGTAGGGCAGGTAGCCCCCAAAGGAGCGGGAGGAGAAGTTTCTAGAGCAGCAGTTGTAGGGCATGTTGAGTGTGGGTGTGAGTTCAGCTGAGTGTAACCGAGAAGATTCTGAATGTGAATATCACTGCTGAACTGGAATATTTATATACTCTTGGTGATGGGTGTGGGACCTTACAGTGTCATCTTTCCCATATTTGGAATCCCCCATTTGAATGCATGTAACTCAGTAATCTTCTCCATAACTGCAGTTAACTAAATCCCTTCATCTTACTTTATGAGTGAACTCCTTTTGGTTTTATGGCTCTGAGTCAATGAAGGACATTTGTATAACAAATGCTATGACTTGTGTTTAATTAATGCCTACCCTATCATGGCCAGGAAAGCCCCTCTTATTTTCTCTGCCCCTGACTTATACAACTCCTCCTATTTTGGTGGGGAGAATTCTTTCTTCCTAGGGTGGTGACTGTAGTTATTAGCAATTATTAATGTAATTACCATGTAAGTAAGTAATTATCAGTGTTTACTATGTTCAATCCACCAGAGCATATACAATTAAGTCAAAGGAATTGAGAGATGATGATGAGTGGATGAGTGTTTTCTGAACAAGAAAACATTTAGTGCTTTGAGAAATAAAATCAAGATAAAAACAAGAGGAGACCATAATCAACCCATGTAAGGAAAAGTTGTCCCAGACACAACTGAGATTGGATGGAAAAGTGACAGTGGCAGCAAAGAGGAGCAGGGCTGTTAGGATTTTCTTCTACTCCCGTCATGATTCAATCACGTCGATATTGTTTAAAAATAAACTTAAATCCAAGCTTTCCTATAATACACTTTAATTGTGAATTCTACTGGGACCACCCCCCCCAGCCCACCTCCCATATCTCTAAACTTCATTTTAAAATTTGGAATGCCTTTGGAGCATTTCCATGGTCAGGCCTACTTCTAATTTGTTTTTTCTTCCTACTTGTGGTACATGATTCTAACCCAGCTTTTTAGAAGAGGTGGACCAGAGTTTTCAGGTCTTGGAGAGTATAATTCCGGGTGTGCTCATTAAGAAAAGAATATAACATTATGCTTATTACATTAGTTATATAAAAATAATATTGTTATATAACAACAGTTATACAAGAATCATATAAATACAAGTCACAACAATACCATCATCCTTCTCATCATCTACAATGTTTTCCCTAAATCTCACAGCCGCATAATCTTTGATGCCATTGTACATGACCATGATTTTGTCAGCATTCTCTTTCTGGAGAAAGAGTAGAAATATAACTTAATTTTTCCTATGGAAATTCTATATCAAAAATTATTTAAATTATTTTTGATGACACAGAAAAGCTTTCAACATCCCATCTGGAATGACACATCTGTAACATCCTCTGTCATTTCTTCTCAGTCAGTGCTTCAAGCCTAACATGATAGACATCTCAGCCATGTGTCACTCATTTACCTTCCCACCCAATCCTGAAACCAGGAGGCTGTTTGTGAGAGAATCTGCAGTAAATGCCTGTAGCCATGGATTGTAGGGTCTATGAAAATCATCCTTGTCCGACCCAGCAAAGTTAGAACCAGAAGCTAGTTCATGCTTGCCTGTCTGAGATAAATACCATTTCAGAGACTTTCTACACTCCCCATGAAAGATTCTTTCTCCTTCTAGAAGCTCCTTGTGCTTGGCATGCCTCCCACATGCATATATGCACAAATTTCTGTAACCAAATTTATACTCAACACTTTTTAAGACTGCAACAATTCAGCCAGGGTGCTTTGGAGAGAGCAGCTGCCCACAATAGCACCTCCACCTATGAGCTGACATCAACTCCTGCCTTCTCCTTGAGTCTCCAAAATGAATAAACTTTGCATTCAAGTAACTTATATAAATTTTCCCATTTTTGCTTTAGGAACTTCCCCTGGCCTCAACTTCTTTGAATATGCACATAGTCTATTTCTCTGCTATTACAAAATAAATAGCATTCATTATACATTGTAGAATCTCTCTGTGTCATTTAGGTTGACAGGGCCTCCTGGCAGATAGAAGAATGGTGTCTTGTACAATATTTCTAGATCAAAGCTTCCTAAAATTCAGTTTGACACTGGGGGCTGGAGGTGTTTAATAGTAGTGCAGGCAGTGTCTGGTTCCACAGCAACCCTAAGACTACCACCAGCGATTCTCAGGCTATAGTAGTGTAGCTGCTGGAATGACAAGTTCCTCCCAGGCTCCCTGGAAGAGTGCCAATAGCGCTTTGGAACTAGCAAGAGAAGGGCCCCTGGGTTTAAGATTCATTAAGTTGCATCTGTCTCTGTGCCTATCCAAGGCACCCAGCCCAAGACACCTAAACATGTGCTCAGATGATCTCTCTGCACTATCAGGGACCTATATGGGGTCCCCAGGTCTCCCAGGGTACATTTCATCTTTCTCCAAAGATCCACCTTCAGTTTTCGTGATTGTCTTCGTGTATGTTTGGCTATTCTTTTTGTTATTTGTCTTTGAGTCCCTCTAACTCCAAATCAAAATGCAAAACAAAGTACAAAAGTATCTGATAGATTTAAAATGATTTTTTAATATAACTCTAGGTTTCTTGACACTTCAAAGCAAATGCACTGATGTGATAGATCTAAGGTCAAATATGCAGAGATAAGGGTTAGGGCTGAAGTCATTTAATTTCAAATCCATTCAAATAAAAATACTATAAAATTATGTGATAGATGCTGAACTCATCAATGTTTCTTTATATTTGATTGGAAATTTTTAAAGAAGCATCACTACACAGGATTTGAACAAGTCAAAGGAATGGCAAATTTCCTGCACACAGCCCACAGTGACTTTGGAAAAGTCTAAATTTCTTCCTGTGGACTCCTGGTTACTGAGGTAAAAGTCCTCGCCCATGCAATATTGTGAAGACCACTCTTTTCTCAAATCCCCATTTTCTAAAGAAATTTTTAGAATAGCTATCCTACCATAACTAGGAAAAGGAAACATTTTTGTTTCATGGGAGCAAGCCCAGCATTAGTCAAATAACAAAGTCTGCAAACATATCTACCATGGCGCAACATTCTGGCCACCTTCCCAGGTGAACATGGTGCCCTCTTCTTCCCTGTACATATCCAACCCTCTTCTCTTTGATGTGGGGGTGTGAAATAATAGACCACAAGCTCTCAGGTCCTCTAGCAAATCCAGCCCACTCAGTCTTGTTAATTTCATAGGTAATGAGTTTTATATTAGACTCCAAATTAGTTGTCAGCATTTAAAAATCAAAAGAATTCACAAAAAATATGGAATTCTGATTTCTTAAAGAAAAAAATCTGAACATCTGGTGAAAGAGGGCTCTCTTTCTGAAATGGGAACAAGTTGCTCTGTTCACTTGGAATATTTACTTCCTAATTCTCAACAGCCCTAGACCTCTTTCCTCCAGCTCACAAGCCAGACTTCAGTCCCCATTGGTGGCCTTTCCTGCAGTTACTTTGTTGTGTTTGTTAATATCTCTATCACTAACGCAAGACTTAGAAGTGGATTAAGAAGCTTTGGGTTTAAAGAAAGCTTGTAGGAAAAATATAGAGAAGGAAAAATAAACTATGTTTTTATGCATTAAAAGCATACTCTTTCATGTTTAATGGAAAAGTACCATGTATTTGTGCTGATGAAATAAAATATAAAGCATCATGCATGAAGCAAATCACAGGTCAATCTCACTTAAATTTATACTCTGCCCAGACTACGTAGTGCCTTGAAGTTAGATCCTCTGACTTTAAATGCTTCACAAGCTAGAACAATTTGAGTTGGAGTTATATGCTAGACAAAGTCTTGGATCAGTGGTGTTCTTTCAACTAAATATTGCAAAATTAACAGTGGGTCACTTTAGGATATGCAAATAAACAAGAAATAAGTAATGTTTTATAAGTCAGATGATTCAGTTCTTCCTAAGCTTGTTTTACCTGTGATTCTGAGGTACCACCATGGTTGGAAATCAGTCCATTGAATTAAAGTGTTAGCATCCAGCCTGAAACCCAAAAGATCTTCACAGTCCTGTGAAATAGATCTACCAGCCTGACCACTATATCCACTTCTGCACAGGACTTGTCTGTCCAAGCAAATCAAGTAAGAAATTTAAAACAGAGGAAAGGTAATCTATTTTCTGTTGGTAATATTATAATTTTGTTGTCATGGGCAGTTGTCCAAAACAATGTACCACTCCCTCTTGCATGCAAGTGTGCAGATATAATAGCTATTATGGGCAATATTGTTTAATAATGCGGAAGATGAATTTGGTGGCATTAATATCTGTCCTGCAAGACTCAGCATCTTAAAAGTTTGGATGAAGACAATGTGTCACTATCCAACATTGTACAGATGGCCTCATGATGCCTAGTTATAACTCCTTTTATCATAAATACCAGAGGGAAGAGTAGCAATTTTGGCAGACTGTGACAGCTGGTTTGGGAGGCAGAATAAAAAGGCCTTTTGAGTTAGAAGTCAAATAAATGGTATGCAGAATCCATGACTGGCACAAAAAACATCCCTGGTATACAGTAGTTACTTTGCAGATGCATGCTGATGCAATGAAAAAGGAACTTGAATATGTAGAGGTTTTAAAGGAATAAAGCATATGGGAAGGTTCTGTAAATATGAAATACAGTTCATTTGTTTATTATTTCTTTGGGAAGCTGAGTAGAGGTTGGCTGTATGTAGTACGTAGATTTGTAAGTTACTCTGTTCAGAAGCAGGAACACTCAAAGAAGTGTCAGGCAAGATCCATGGTCTGTATCCATCTAGATGAGAGGACATGCTTAGGAAGAAGTGGTAACAAAGGAGAAAGAGAACATGCTAGAAATATGGGTAAGAGCCTCTCCTTCACTCCTTTGAAGACATGTGCTCTCTTCCTGATCCTGGGACACCACCACATCCTGCTTCATTTCCTTCTTTTTACTCATTTCTCCTAAAATGTTTTAAATTTAATTGATTTATTGGTATTTTATGTGATTTTAGATTAGAAATCATTAAAAAGTTTTTTGGCACCATTTCAAGATTTTAAATCCCATCCTTATAATACCTTTGTA